CTCTTACACTGATTCCCTTTGTAGTTCCCATCCACTCATTGTTGCTTTCCTTTGCAACTATTTGGCCTTAGATCACTAAATGTTTTCCTTCCTCAAAAATATTCTGTCTCTCAATATTTGTCTCTTTAGTTTCACATTATGTGCTTGGCCCCTTTAGAAATTAATCGTTGTAGTAGAAGGGATTTGCCCTCTAAAGATTTTGGAAATAATTTTGCCTATCCATCTGCAGCTGTTCTCCGCTCAGGTGTACAGAGCAAGGTGCCTTTTGAAAGAGAGCTTCAGTTACTTTCTTCTTGCAGCATGAAACAACAAGCTAGCTGACTCCCGCAGTGCTCCCTGTGGGTTCCTAGTAAGGCCCAGTGATAAACTCGTCAAGGGCAGCACCATTGGAACAGGTAGTGATTATGGAGCATCAATTTGGGTCTTTGTATAACGGAATTCTTCCCAACCTTCTCGGTCAACTTGGGACACTGGGGTTGTCCTTTCTGCCTAGAGATCTGTGTCCTCCTCCCAACTGGCTGCCGCGTTTCACCCATAAAATACACAATCACTACACTTTACAGTATATTCTGTCAAGCGCTTTGAGACGTCTCAACAACGTGAGAATGCGCTATATCAAATGCAAGGATTATTAATATTATTAACTGATCATCTTAGCTGCACTAACTTTGAATAGTTTTGCTGAACCTTCTCAGCTGCAGAATTTTGCACACAATCCCCTGCAATGACCTCTTACAAGAGCATAGCAAGGTGAATTGGCCGTTCTTCACAAAGGAGATTTATTCTGGATCGCAGGCATCATACCTCCTAAGGGGATCGATAGAAACCACACTAAACTTTCTTCTTTTTCTTGTGAGCAGCTGCCAGGCACAAAAATCCACTTACAGAGCTAGCAATGGGCTACATTCATTCTACACAGCTTTTCATTCATCAACCGAGGTCACCAATGACGATTTTAGTTGTTACAAACCATATAATCTGCTGATGATGATATGGTCATTTGTAAGTTTGGTTCATGATGATAGTTATTGGGAAAAAATAAACTTACCGTCATTCAGTAGAGCAAACACGATTTTGTTCCAGATTAAATTCTCTAAAACAGGAAATTAATTTGTAAAGAAATGTGCCTAAGAACATTTTAAAATAAAAACCTGATGTTCTTGTACAAAAGGAGATGACAATGCCTTTTTTTTAACAAACACAATGCATATTGTAAAGAGTGGATAAGGATGCAAAGGATACTATCACGTCTCAATGACATGATAAGGCGGTATATCAAATTGTAGGATTATTATTATTATGGCATTATACAAGCAGGTAGTCACTCTAAACTTGGTCTTGTGCAAATGGTCAGTTGTTTTTGTAATCTCTCATTACTTTGCATTTACTGCTGATGTGTTTACACTAGTCTTCCAAACTTGCTAAAACAATTGATTTAGAAATAGAGAGAAAATAAAGCTACTTAGTCCAGTCTGGTCTTTGTCTAACAGTAGGTCATTATTCTCTTTCATGGGAGTTGGCTTCACATCTTATCCAGACTGGAGATCTTCCACCTTCACACTGAAATAGTACTAGGGGTTGTATTCCCTGGTGGAATTTCACCCCTCTACTGTCCTTGAGGCACTAGGATAGAATACTGCCCACTTGACAGTATTGCTTTTCATCTAACAGCCTGCCTTACAATTGGTTAATATCAGTCTTATTTCAAGTATTTTCATCCTTTGTTATACTTTTATATACCGTTCTGTAAACAATATGAGGCTATTAGCTGCTACCTGCATGAGATTTTTTCTGAGAGCTTAGCTACCTTCTTGTTCAGTGCAGTTGGATTTTGATTCTTCCATGTATTTGGAAAGTTGGGAATCAAGTTACAAATAAACATCTCGGCACATGTTTCGAATTAATCACTGCAGCACAGCAGCATAACGAAAGAATGAAAAGCAGCCTCTATGAAATAAGACTTGGCAGAGCTATTTCTCAAAAGGAAAGATAAGATAACAACAACTGAGATGTATGTTGAAACCAAACTGGTAGTTATACTGCCCTCTGATCCAGGTATCCTTGCCAACATAAAATCCCATCACATTAGATGGCACCTTGTATTTAAATGATATTTGCAGTTTAGGGGTTAGAGCTTATGATTTGGGCTATTATCATTCCCATGAATGAAATTTGTGAGTCTATTGTAGCCCTGGGGATGAATTATCTACAGAGCTCCATCCATTGCCTGCTTAAAGTGATTTATTATAATACTGTTAATTCCCTTTCTACCGATTGACATGAATTCTTCTGTTGTCAGGTAATGTGGATGATGTGGGAATGATAGAGACAGTGTGATATGTTTAGACTGGCACTGCTCCAGATTTCTTTCATTCTGGCTGGCTGTTTAATGGCCTTTCACAGTCACCGGGCATACGGTATTTAACTTATAGGAAGCGGTTATACCAGGGGACCTCGCTCTGTTATGAAACGTGACAAAGACCTGAAAAATATAGATTGGATCTCTAGGGACTTGAAAAGTGACTCATCAGTACTTGAAGCGTAACTTAATTGCATCCTTACCAAACAGTGGCTGGATATCTTGCAACAAGTTGTGATGAAACCACTGGGCTTTGGTTTGCTAGGAGCAATTTAATTCTATTTTTGAATACATGAACACTGCAAATCACTCCAAAGGATTAACTGGTTTAAGAATCTCTGTGTAATGAAATGCTTAATGCTATCGGTCCTAAATCTACTTCGAAGGGATTATTATCTTCGGAAAGCGATTTGCTAATCATCTAATAACTCAGTTCCTATTTACAGATAGGTAAACAGAGATGTGTGGAATAAGGCAAGCTTCACCCACAAATACACACTCAATCCACTTTATTGCATATCCTGTGAAGTGCTTTGAGACATCTCAGTGACTTGATAAGGTGCTTTATCAAATGCAAGGATTATTATTATTTTAATCTAATCTGTGTTTAAACTCTGCCTTCCGAGATGCTCCCTCAATCTGTGCAACATGTACAGCCATTGATGAAAGAGTTAAATTCTTGCATTTTTATACGCACCTTATCACGTTGGAACATCTCAGCATGCTCTATAGGGAATTGCTTTCACTTGCAATGACTGTATTTGACCTCTGTGTTTGCATCAGCCAGGACCCAAGACAGACACCTCCTACTCCCCCAAGACACTCTTCGCAAATGTGTTCAAATGTTCTTAGAAGGGAAGCTTGGGCTTTGGACTTAAAACTGAACAGGCATCCGTTTCTTTGGTAGCAGACCTTGGCGGTGATTCACTGAAGGCTGGCAAATTTATAGCAAGAGTATTTTATCCTCCTCTGGGCAGTAGATTTACAGATCATGACAGTCTGAGTTTATAATGGCAAAATCCCACTGTAAACTCATGCAAAGTCTGTAACTCTGTGGATCAAAGGAGAATACTAGTTGGGAATAAAACGCTCTTGCCCTGGTATGAGCATAAATTTATTGTTCTTTGGAGAAGCACCACTGTTGTGTCTGATTGAACTTTCCTTTAAACAGGCTTTAATTCTTAACTTTCCCTGAATGTGGATTGCCAAGTTTTACATTTTCTTTGAAATGTTTCTTTTTCTCAAATTTTAGACGAAAGCCCTTGTATTTTACAAACAGAAAACAAGGCAACCCAGTTGTAACACCAGTGGCCGAGTCTAATGTCTCAGTGGTTGCCTTATAAACATGACAGAGAAAGAATATCTGACTTCCTGTTAGCCGGTTGAGGCTGATGTCATTTGTCATTTCCTGCAAGTTGGCAATCACGGACAGTGTGCACAGGAACTTCTGCTGATGTAATTTCCTGCACGCTGTGCAGGCACCCAATGTCCAATAAGCAGATCACACTTCCTTCGCAAAGTGATGCCAGTGGCTCTTCGTGCATATAGGATTGTCCAACACACGGAACTGATGTCAACAGATCTTCTCAATGTGCAGGAAGTTAACTGCAAACTGACAATCTGTGATTGGCCTTTCTTTTAAGATGGCTAATCCATACCAGAAGGCAGGTCTACTGTACACAAAAGCCTATTACTGTAAGTGTGTTAGCATTCTATTACAGGCCATAATGGGGCTCCCTGTAATATCGATTGATGTTGGCTAATTTGACTTGCCAAAGAATCACTATTTGCCTGGAGTGTGGGGAAGGGGGTGGGCAGGGAGTTTAACCATTTTACATGGACAGGCCTTTGGACGTCCCAATGAATAACAGTGCCCTTGGCGTAGAAAGTGGCCATACAGAGCAGAAGATTGCAAGTTTGAATCTCGATCTGTGCTTAGTGAGGTAAACTCAACCAAGACAGCAGTTGGGGAATTACAATGGCTTCGATGTCCCTTGATGATCAGGTGAACGTCAGCCAGGGCTTTCACTCCTGATCACTATCCAGAGATCCTGGCTGGAGGATTTGTGTTTGTGTGGGTGAGGACAGATTGACTGATTCCCCCACCAGTTGAATAGGCAGCCAAGTCTGATAAATGAATAGTTCCACTTTGACGAGTTACCAGACAGTGCCCTCCAGCAAAATAACTATGGCTGGTCCACTGTTGTATTTACCTTTACAGAAATCTTGTTTCATGAGAACAACAATGTGTGCGACTAGAAAAGGCAAAATGAGTCAAGTAGTTTGGGGAGGAGAGAGAAAATGAGGGAGGGAGTCAATTTGAATGGGTCAATTTTGTTCCTTAACCACAATATGTGAAAACAACTTTGATTCTTTTTCTCATCTCTTCTCTTCTTGGGAGTTCCAGGCAGCAAGCACACATATGCCTGGGTTTAAACTACAAAAGGAAACTAAAATCAGGAATTTGTGTATGAGAAACCTTTCTGAAAAATAAACAAGAAATCCAATAGCACTGGATTCTCACCCTAGCGCTTTGAAGAGGATTTATCTGATTCCTTTTCTAACAACGTGGGTGTGTTGTTCAGCAAAGTAGCATCAATCAAATCTGAGCCTGAACACTAGAGGGCCAATCTGAGGCTCTGATTTCAGGGAAGAGGCAGGAGAAGGAGAGTTGCCAAGAATTATCCCATTTAAAGCTTTTCCAGTAGAAGGAATTTTGCAGAGTCTAAGCTGGGCCTGGGACTGAAAGAAGGAAGACATTGACTTGATGTTCGTATACTGATACTCAACCACTCATTTGCACAGACTCTCATGTCTGATATTTAGACATGGGGACCCTGGTGCACATTGGGAATTTGCTGCTTTTTGCCATTACACTGGCACAATTAAGACTGGTAAAAAGTCAGGACAGTGGACTACACTATGAAGACTTTGGTAAGTTATTGTCCCTTGCAAGTCTTATCTGTTACACAAAAGCATGTTCTTTGACGTGTTCTACAAATGATCTGAAAGCTCCTTATGTTTTTTTTATTGAGAACTTTAGTAGGCTTGCAGCCAGAGAGTTAACTTTCTTTGTAATTTCAATGGAATTTGAAGTTATTGTACTGCAACATGCACTGTGATCAGAACATGTCTTTTATTCTCTACTCTCTGCGTTGGAACGAGTAGGCGGCAGTTAAACATGCAGCAGTGAAATGAATTGTTTCTGGCTTAATTGGAAGATTCTTGTCAGATTTCAGCTACATTGGGCTAAGTTTCTTCTGGACTATATCAAGTAATCAAGTAAAAGTCCATAAAGGAATAGTTGGTGATAATGAAACCTCAGAGGGTTCTGTAACAAAGCTTTTACATTCACAAGCACCAGTAGCTCTCTACTACCATTAGGCAGTGGTTGAATGGTATTCATTTTGTCTATCTGGGAAGACAGAGAGACAGGCCCTGAGTTGGCGTTGTTGCAATGGGACTAATTAGGAAACAGATAGCTTGTTTGCCACGTTGTATAAATTAACATGTGCAACAACTTTGCTTTGTGTTGCACTGACAGCAGTTGATCCAGTCCAGACTCTTGCCGTAGAACTTGCCAGTTCCTGCATTGTCACCCACTGCTGATCTGGGCTTGAATTTCTTACTGTTAATTGCTATTTATTCTCCTGGAAAGACGAGAATCCATGGCTTGTAACTGATTTGACGTTTATGCATTCAATTGACTCACTTCTCTTTTCATTATTTGATACTGTATTTCATCTTTGCCACTGTACCTGATCTGATTGAACAAACAACACAACTTGAAATGGATTTAATGACATCCCATGGACTTGCTGGAATCTAGCTTGAGCAGGAGGCTTGTTCTCAGACTTTAGGAGTGTATGGGTTTGTATATGATGTGGCCGCAATGTGCGTTCATGCAGCTGAGTAAGGGTTGGGACCTCTTCGTGCAGTTGTTGAATCCAGACAATTCCGCAAATCTTGTGGGAAATTGGGGTTGACTGTGTCTCATAGGCCTTCTGGACAGTGACCCATGACTCCTTGTGTCACCGCATGTATTACTCACTCGGGGAATAACCCACAGATCTTTCATCCTTTTGGGGGGGGAATGGGATGGGGGAGAAGAGGAAAAGGCGATGGGTATTTGGGGTTAGTTTCCTGCAGCTAAAAGGAGAATCACAGATTGTACAGAACCTTCATCCCCAGCAGTCTCATTCACATGTATGAGAATGTGTAAGATACCCATTATGTACATCTGTAAGTACTTTTTGAATTTGAGTCTGCCCCTCAACTCACAAAGGCACAAAGTGGTTCTTGTATCACTGTTTCATTTTTAGAAAAAAAATGTTTCACTGCTATTGCCTCTCTTCACTGTGAGAGAAAGAGAACATTGAACATTGTACTTAACACTGACATTAATGCCGAGGATCTGCGAAGCAAGATATAATGCAGGGAATAAAGAGACAGTTGAAATTTCTGTGAGAGAGTTACAGGGCAGTACATATATTCTCATTTTTAATATTCAAGCGGTCACAAGAAAGTCTTAAATTACTGAAAGAACGTTTGTCTTTTTGTCAGTGCCTGAAGCAAAAAAAGTTAGACAATGATGATATCAATCTGTTTTCCATACTTTCCCACCAACTGGAGCCCCTTAATTCAATTGTGTGATTAATTTATTCCAGCGTGATATATAGCCACAGGGAAACAGATTGCAGATCACGTCATTGTATAAGCACATATGCCAAGTAAATCTACAGCAGACATAACATCCTTATTATACTTTTGTTCAGTTATAGAGGAAATATTAATACGAAACGATAAAATAACTTAGATGACAGATCTGACAGGAAATGGGATCAAGGAGCCATGAAGGCAAAAGCTGGGAGCATTGTTCTGACACACTAACTCAACACAAATGTACACTTTAGGTTGAAAATCAGTCTCTTCTCATTTACATACTTGGAAATCCTTAAGAACGCTCCTGCAGAATTTTCACAAAAATGCCCACATAACACTGATTCGATTTAAAAAGTTGGTATTTTAAAAATGATCTTCAATCCTAATTGTTGGCTTGACAAACGGCATAATAGTTTTAGACATTATTAAAAGACTGGAAAGTTATTGAAGTACGAAAGCTTTCCCCTCCACCATTGAATGGAAATTTATGCCACCTGTGTGCTATTTTGTTGCTTGTCCACCCACTGTTTTTTTTTCCATTTGGGAGAATGTTGGTGAGTTTGATTTGTTGAATGATTGAATGATGAGCAAACCTCACGATACTGAGGAGACGCACAAATTCCGCCTGAACATTCGTATTTCCAACAGAAATTCTTGAAGCCCATGGCTTTTTTTTAAAAAAAATTGTGTTAAAAGCGTGTAAAAAGACTGATGTAGACATTGTAAAAGACATTCTTTTAAAAAAAAGAAAACTGCCAAATTTATTCCGAACAATTATCAGGTTTCATAAGGAACACATTAAAACATCAATATAAACTGTACGAGTTTTCCCTACTGCACAGGTCTTTGAGCAGTGAAAAACTGCTTGTAGACACTGTGAAATAGCTAGAGGCTTGTGTAGCCCCCTAGTGGTCCACTTTAATATACGTGAACAGTCGATAAAACCTTGAACATGTTTCTGGAACCATTTCAAAATAGACTTTATTTTTAATGTTCTAACAGGGGAGGGGCATTTTGTACAGTTTTCGATATTTCATCTGTTTAGGGCTAGCTCTGAATTTCTTCCTAGAAGAAAGCCTGTGTGTATTCGTTCTCTCGTCTACTAGCATTCTAAGGGAGAACTGGTATTGTTTATATTGCAGTTGATGTTTTAAGTTGATCCTTACGAAATTTTATAAATGTCCTGAATAAATTTTCCAGTTCCTTCTTTAAGAAAAAAAGGCATTTTTTTTTCACGACCAAGTAGTTATGTAAGACCCTATGTTGGTGGCTTTTTTTGGTGGCAAAGCACTGGAAAATGCTAGATATTAACCACCACACATGCAGCATAAGAAGTCATTGTCATTGCAGCTACAGGTTATACTTTGGGTGGTACAGAAAGAATACAATGTGGGGCCATCTTCTGTTGCTGTTCTCACTGATTGCTTGTCAGGTCAGCTCATATCACTAGTGCCCTGCTGTACAGTGAGAAAAACTTTCCAGCCAGACTGCCACTTCGTTGGAAATCCGCACCGGGTTTTCATGATTGTGTTCAGATTTTTTTTTAGTATTTGTTGTTTTTTTTCCTTTGGTTAAAGAAATTTCTCAATAACCTCCTTCTGTGTTGCAATTTTTATAAGATGAAATGGATTGGGTAGAGCCCATTGTCAAGTAAATTGTTCATGGTGTGCAAAAGGAACCAGTTTGATTGACCAAATGACTTTCTCTCTTGCATGTTTTGTTGCTTCCCAGTCAGATGTGTGAAGCATTTTGAGACATCCTTCTAACGAATGGGTTTTGTGGTTATTTGGCCATCAAATGAAGTCAGCAATTCCACTGAACATTGGGAATTTAGAGCACTGCATATTTAAATATTTCCCTAAGTTTTCTAATAGCTCATACACTATAACCGTGTTACCATTTCACCCAGAGGCACTTGATTGCCTTTGAAATGGATGGCATTTGCAGATAGTTGAATCCAAAAGTCTTGTCTTATCATTACTGATTGCTTAAATTAGAGTTTTAATGAGTTTTTTATATGGTGAAAGTGCAATGGTGCATTTTTTTAAAGTGTAAAATGAGAAAGGAAGCTACAGAAATAAGAATGAGCAGAAAATGAGATAGGAAAACCATTGCAAACATTATAGAAGACTTAAAATCAAAATCTTCTGAGGCGTGAGGTATCGGTGAGAAATCACAGGAGATTTCAATGAAGAAGGCCCTTTATTTGATCTCATCCTTCCAGTCTACACATTACAGGATCAAGCTGTTTTTCAAATGAATCCAGTGTCCTGGTAGCAACAACTGTTCCTGCTACGTTCAGCTCATAAGAACATAGGAACATATCAACAACAAAAACTTACATTTACATAGTGCCCTTCGCCCTGGAAAGTGTTTTGGAGCACTTAACATGTCCCAAAACATAGGAAAACAAGAACAAGAGGAGGCCATTCCACCAGTTTATTAGATCTTGTCAGAACTTCCAATCTCAATGTTTCATACAAGGATTGGGTGCCAAAAAAATTAACATTATACTCTAAATGAGGTTTAACCAGGTTCTATATAACTGGAGAAGCACCTCCTTCTACAGTCAAACCACTTGTAATGCCAGCATCTCATTTATCTTATTGACTGCTTTGAACACCAATTCATTACATTTTAAGATCTATAAACTTGACCCCTTAGCTCACCTACCCTTCCTAGTGCTTCATATGTACTATTGCACACAAGAGGCAGTTTGGGGGATTTTTTTTAATTGCACAGAAAATGCCGTCACTTCTCCTTGGTACAGTGGATTCTGGGAGGATGACATCATTGTACTCAGCTTGCGCTGTGTAGCTGTGTTTTATAAAACTTTCCAGTGAATTTTTGGCTCAAAAATGCAACCGATATTTATTATTTTTGTAGAAGCCAGAATTCTCTGGAAAGTTTTATAATACAGCTGCAGACCACAATCTGGCTACAACATGTTCCCAGAACGCACTGCCGGTGAAGAGGTAATGGTTATAAAGTAGAACTCATGGGTCAGAAAACTCACCAAGGAGTTTGTTGGTGAGTAAACTATTGTATTCACAAAATCACATGATTGGTTGAAGAAGGCTCTTTGACCCACTTGATCTCATACCTCCGGAATACCTATTCTATCATCCTCCCATCGCAGCATCAAACTGCTTTTTAAATGAGTCCAGTGTCTTGGCCTCGACCCATCCTTCCTGGAAATCTCTTCTACTCTATATATCAACTTGCTTGTGGTTTCTGCTCTTGTATTCTGTGGATAATCACTATAAATGAAC